ATATTTGCAATTCTCTCCAAGACAGAGAGTTTCATTTTGGCATGGTTTACAATATTCAACCATAAATCAAAATCAAAACAGCAAACAGAGATAACGCAGAAAATAAATCAAATCCATTACTATTTTAAGCTTTTCACTTTTTTCTTCTATTTTTATTCATTAAAATTGCTAATGCTAATTGAACGTATTTTAACAACACCAAAATATATGACAAGAAAATTTATAACCCTCAAAAGAGAATCATCTAATGAAACAGATAAAAAATTACTCTCAGGAAGCTTCAAAAAATTTACGTATGCAAGCAAGGCAAACACAATAACTTCATCTGACTGCCCAGGCAAGTCATAGTTAAGTGATATGTTCTGAATTAAAATTTATACTAAAAAATTAATAATACTTAATTTTTTTATAAAAAATCAAGAAAAATATTCTATTGTGCTAAGTTTGCAAGTTAAAAATCTTTTTTTAACATTTAAAAAACATTTGTAACATAAATATTTTTAAAATAATGAATGGGCTTTGTATAGATTCATAAATCTTTCAACACAGTTGATTCTATAATAGGAAAAGAAGAACTTAAAAAGTGAGATACCATATGTTTCTATCTTTATAACAGAAAGAATTACTGCATGATTAACAATGTCAGAAAACAGATCTGGCTAGAGTGAAACAATTTAATTCAGTGGTATTTTTTGACCTTGGAAAAAGTGCTTATTGATAAAGGATTTTTCTCCATCAGTCCATAGGCTATATTCAGGTACATTTATATCAACCTCAGCTAAATCACTGGACAAATGCCATGCTACTCTGAGAGTTGTTGCTCTATCAAGTCACAAAAATGTGCATTCACTTTTTATTAGTATTTAATTATGAATGATCTTCACACCAATTTCCCCCAAAGATCCTTAATTTAAAAAAATCAAACCACTAAAAGACATTATTAACACTTAATTAAATAATGCATTACTACACAGCAGCATAGAATTATATTATTTGAAAGAAATGTGACTTATCTGTATGTTACCATCAGGTAAGTTAGAAGTATTCTGTAAAATCTATGACCCTTTAACAGCATCTTCCAGACAATTTTGCACAAATACAAACTGTCCTAGTAGCTGAAGTTAATAATTTCCCAGCTGCTCGCAGTTTATTTTCATTCTGTTAGAAAAATAGTAGTTGATTCAAATACTCCATCCTGTCAGATGGTACATTGTTAAATCCTTAGTTTATGAATCTCATATACACGTAGGCTCTATGTGTAGAAAACATTCTGAGCACAATCAGCAAACAAAACTTATTAAAGAAGAAAAAATCTACAGTAGATAAACTATTTATTTTGATAGGGTACAATAATCATTTTACTTGAATTTCAGATGTTCATGAAAGGTGATTAAAATTGTGAGCATTAACTCTAAAATAAAAATTTTGATTCTAGAATAGCAAAGAATAAAACTTTTCCTAAAAATAAATCTCTTGGAGTCGTATCTTAGGCTATCTCCTCTACAAGCATAATTTTTAGCAAGGTTAGCTTTAGGCTATCCTGGTTAGTCCAGGCTATTGACATGCATGTCTAAACAGACTGTGAGTTGCCTCATTGCACATTGTTATCTGGAACAGTATCCAGCAAAATTTTGTGAGTATAATTTCATGGAATTAAAGAAATGTGTTTAAAAGGATACAAAAAGATCTTCTATACTTCTGCCATCAGAACTGATGAAGTTCCTACATGGTTTAATTCAGCTATTTTCAAGGCATTTCCTAACAGTTCTGTACCACAATAAACTGTAATGGAGGTTTATGGTGATTATATGAAAGCTGCCTGTTAGCAATACCAGAATTAAGACAAAAATATCTTTCAAGGGCTCAGTACTTTAGGGGAGAAAAAGGTGTAACTGACCTAACAGACAGCAGTCCTATCTTCCAATTTTTCCACAGACAGACTAGCAGATATCTTCAGAATAGAAGCTACACCAACTCAGGCATACACTTCCCACACTCTCTACAGGCAAGGATTTAATCTGGATTAGTAATGACACTGCCTTCTAGGCTTTTTAGTTTCACAAAATGTTCTCATATCACTTTTGGTCATTCACACTAGAGTTCATATCTACATCAGGTATGTGCTAGCAGCATAATGCTGAACCCACTATGTTTCCTTCTTTTGAAAAGCAAGTCTCTTTAATTATTCATGCATCTGATGCTCAAATTTAGATTTTATCCATAGTTTAGATCTGTGATCATTTGAATGATTGTTGATGCTTTATGGAATCGTTCTAGATACAACTGCTGCAGGACCCTCAGTAACACTATCATTTTGTACGGCCCACTAAAGAAAGATGTTTTCTTTCCTAGTGTTGATGTTGCTTACAATCTTTTATGCATTTTATTTTCTTATTTCAAACCGTATACAGAAAGAAGAAACAAGTTTCCTTGCTTTCATTTGCACTTCTCTAGTTTTGGAAACTAGAACTCTTTTCTACCAAGAAGGAAGTGTTTTAAATTAAGAACTAGGTCCTTATCCCACGCACTCACATTAAACAGCACTTCATTCCTAAGGAGCCATTGACTTCATTTTGGTTATTCTGCAGGATGCAGATCAGGATGCTGTTGGAACGTTAAGTGCCTGTTTAAAGTCTGTCCTACGCAGAGGAGAATGCAAATGGATTCAGACCCAACAAACAGAAGAGATACTGTCATGAACTAGAAGCATAGTAATAGCCTTTCATTCCTTACTAGTGCAGAAGCAATAAAGCAAAACTTTATGATTAAATTATTTGAAGACTGTTTGTTAAAACAGATTAAAAAGAACTTTTACTGTATCTACTTGTCTGTAAAATTTAACAATACTACTGTTCTTCAGTTACAAATTTTATTTTTATTCTTCAGTTTATTATCTGAGGCATTCAGTATCAGTTGCTAATGAAAACACTTGCTCTGTAGAATTCAGGTAAAAGAAAAATAGATGTGGTCAGTCTTCTAGAATGACAGAAAGAATCAAACAAAATCAACCAAACGGTAAAAGATATGAAAAACAACAAACAAACAAACAAATCCACTAATAACTCAGGAATAAAAACGAGGGGAAAAGAGCAAAAAAAAAGGAAGCCTCTGGGATTTGTCTGATTATGCTACACAATCAAAGCACATGATTCCAGATTATTTAAATTACCTGTGACAAAAGGACAGGTAACTGTCTGTGAAATCCAATCATCCTTCCTTGGAATGAACCTACTGCTACAAAACCTAGTCCTAATCTCAGAGGAAACCAAAGTGCTCAAAAGTTACCAGTCTAAAAATGACACTTCCAGGAGAAAGAAACTCCTCATCACCACACTAATATCAAGCAGTTAATGAGTTATGCATTCAATATACAATATGGGAGACTTTAATTGGTGAAGAAAATAAGCCAGAGATAATACAGAGCCTTTGCAAAACTAAAGGGGCAAAACTGTAAAAGAAAGCTTTGCTGAGAAAAGAAAAAAATGTAATATTCATTTAATGAAGACATTTAAATAACAAGTTCAGCA